AAGCTTTTCAGAGATGGCAACAACTCTGAGACTTAAATTGTAATAGATACAACAGGGCTCGACAATAAGGACTGCCCAATGGCCTAACTATATTTTACAAGTCAGGGATGTAAAATGTCCAACATGTTAATAATATGGTTGCAAAAATTGTGAAACAGATATAAATAAAAATAAAAATAAAACCGTTCAGATCATATTTGGTAAGAAATTTGAGTTCTAGGCTCCATTGTGGGCACAATTCATGGAAAGTTACCTGGATATTATTTGCTTTAAAGCTGCAGTACATAAACAAACAAAAAACAATCAATGAATCACTGACCTAGTACATTAGTGTTCAAAAGAGTAAAATGGTAAGCTTATAATAATGTTTTATTAATAATTTGAATGGTCGGGTTGGATTTCATGGGAAATGTCAGTTTCATCACATTCAACTTTGCATGATGACACATGTCCAAACAAAAAAAAGAAAGCTTTTCAGAGATGGCAACAACTCTGAGACTTAAATTGTAATAGATACAACAGGGCTCGACAATAAGGACTGCCCAATGGCCCGATGACCAGCGACTCTGAAGACTGACGCAAAGAGGAGAAAATACTGTAGCAGGCAGAGCAGCTCTGTTCACGATGCGCAAAATATAGGAAGAAAATACTAAATATTGAATTTTATATGGATGTATTTATGAGGGGAACTGACTGTTTTCAGAAAAGTTTACATGGCGTTTTCTTTTCATCTTGGCTCGGTATAATGCATTTAAAGTAGTGCTAATACGCACAGCGCTGCTTTGTGTACAGCAGTCAGTAACCAAGTAAACGCTGCTGTTCCGCAAGCGCCTCCGGCTGGCAGAGTGTGAAATTGCATCTCATTCAGCCCACCTGCTGTTTCGGTAATATGCAGGTGTTTTATGTAGCATAATTTCACAAGTCAGACCATTCTGTTTTTGCTTCAAATTTTGAAATTATACAGTCTAAAATATTGGTGTCATATAAGCTTATTTATTAAAATACAAGATAACGTAGATCAAAAACAATGACAAAGGCAACCATTAAATTTTTTTGTGGCAGGGCCAGTGAAAATGTTGGCAGGGCAAGTAATAATTTAAACCACTGGCCCGAACGGGCCAGTAAAAACAATCCTTAGCGTTGAGCCCTGTACAAGATATCTAGCAATCATTATTTCAAACATCAGCATGACCTAACTTTTGTAACAGCGCGGATGAATCTAATGTTTTGAGGTGTAGGTGTGGCTGTCAGTCAAGGCACCAGTGTGGATATTCACTCTACGCCTAAAATAAGATGTTTCACCAGAAAATGTCATTTGAACAAGTAACATGTCTGGTAGTTTTGTTCTGACCACCTTAAAGGGGTCATATGATGCGATTTCAATTTTTCCTTTCTCTTTGGAGTGTTACAAGCTCTTGGTGCATAAAGAAGATCTGTAAAGTTGCAAAGACTAAAGTCTCAAATCCAAAGAGATATTCTTTATAAAAGTTAAGAGTCAGCCACATCTACCTAAAACGGCTCGTTCTAACACGCCCGATGTGATCTACGTCACGATGTGGGAAGATTTGCATAGCGCCGCCCAAATGTTCACGCAAAGAAAGAAGGCGTAACTTTTATTCTCGCTGTAGTATTGTTGCCGCCGCCATGTCGTGAAGGCACTGTGTGTTTCGTTGTGAAAGCGAAACTACTTTGTTTGGCCTTCCAAAAGAGGACACGACTAGAAATCAGTGGTTAAGTTGTATTTACAACAACGTTCCAGAACAGTTCAACCCAAATATTCAGATGTGTGCAACGCATTTTACGGAGGACTGTTTCCTGTCCCATTAATTCCCCTCTCAGTTCATGCTTTGACATTTGATCAAGTGGTATTCAGTAACAATACCATTATTGCTCCAAATAATCGAAATAATCATAAACACGAACATACAAAATCACAGGTCTTAATGTATTTAACATTAGTTCCTCACATCGTTGTCTGCTAGGCTAAACGTCTATTTCAGTCAGCAGACGCCTGAAAGACGCACAAATAGCGCTGTACCCGTTGAAAACAATACAGAATGACTGCATAAAATGTTGCTTTAAACTGTGTTTTATACTTGTATAAATATATGAAGCACCAAGAACTGACTATTTCATTGTCTTACCTCAGGAGACCCAACACTGACTGATGACACTACTGCCGACGTCTTCTTCTTGTTTTACGGCGGATCGTATATCAGTGAATTATCGCCACCTATCGCCGAATGGACCATTGACTACGTGTGTGACACGTGGATGTTGTTTATTTAATTATTCCTTGTATCAGTTTTTTTTTTATTATTGTGGTTTTATACTAGCCTGTATAAACTACGTGAACTAATGACTACGCTAATTCTGCAAAGAACCAGCTATCAAAGAACAGATGCATTGCAACATATTATGAAACATAAATTGTTCAGCTTTTTTATTGAACTTTCTTTCAACAGGTCATAAAGTAGATCATATAGTAAATCACTAGCAAAATTGTGATGACTGACAGCAATAATAACTGTAACAACATTGTGGAATCTCATGGCTATGAACAAGAAATATGGAAACAACAGCTTAACCAATTTGGTGCTTTTTCACGATTTATATATATATATATATATATATAAATAATTATTATTAATGACCAAAGATTTGCTGCTTTTAAACTTGACCCCTTGATCACGTGTGCAGCTTCTCTCCAGTGTAGATTTCCATGTATCTTCTAGTTTCCTTTTCGTGTGAAACTCTTCCCACACTGATCACATGTGAAAGGAATGTTAAGTTTAGGTTCTTTGTATGGGAAACTGTTTTGAGTCTTTGTAGTAAAAAACTAAAAAACTTTCAGTCTATGATCAACTTAGATTTTTCTCCTATTCTGACATGAAGTTTCTCCTCCGACTCAACTTCTTCACTCTCCTTATTCTTTTCCATCAGGTCTACAATTACAATAAAATATTATTTTAAATAAATAATAATAAAATACAATTATTTAATTTCCAGTAAATCATAAAAATTAGTAAGATATGTGAAGGGAAAAGGCATAAAAATGAATCATGATGTAATAACAGAAGGTAGACAACTGCTATACAAAATTATTCATCAGCATTGCTTCCTAAATGCCTTTTCCTTTCCAAATTCATGTCAAAATTAGAAAAGCTCTAAAATAATCAATTAATTAGGTTTTTTTTATGTTCTATCAGCTGTCAATTTTTTTATTGTACTATATCCCTTACAAAATGGCATGAATTTCACATGATCAGAAGGTTTTGGAACAGTTCCCATGTAAAATCCATGTGATCAAGTGAAACAGGTGGCGTCATGTTGTCCACATGTGATTATGTGGAAAACATTAGACATTCATGTGGTTTTTCTGTAAGGGATGTGATAAATGTTTTAACATAAAATTATTTGTAAAAGTTTAATATCGATCAAGTTTGTCAAGTCAAGTCACCTTTATTTGTATAGCGCTTTATACAAAACTGGTTGTGTCAAAGCAGCTTTACAGAGTCAAACAGCCTTACTTTGTATAGCCTCACTTTGACGATGTTCTTCATGTGCTCAGCATAGCAATATAAAACTAAGCAAGCAACATTATGCCCTGGCACACATTGCTGCAGTTAGGCTATAAACTCAGACATTCGCTCATCACATTATTGCACCATGTTTGGAGAGGATGCAGTGTCACCCTTCAAGATGAAATACTTACTGTGACTTTGAACAACTGTTTTTTATATGAGTGCGTAGAGTAGATAAATGAGTAAAACTCTTCCCACATGGAATGCAGTGATACGGCTTCTCTCTAGTGTGGACCCTCTCCTGTAATTTCAGTTGGCTTGACTCACTGAATCTCACAGTGTGAACACTTGTAAGGTTTTTCTCCAGGTGTGAAGTCTCTGATGACATTTCAATTTTTCATCTGTAGTAAAAGTCTTCTCACACTCAATGCACATGTAATTCTTCACACCACTGTGTTTTCTGGTGTCTTTTAAAACCACCCAGTCATCTAAAACTCTTTCCACACGAAGAACACATGTAAGGCTTCTCCTTTGAATGAACTTTCAGGTGCTTCTTCAGAGTATCTGCCCCAAAGAAGTTTTTACCGCACTGACCACAGCAAAACTTTCTTTCTCTAGAATAAGAATACATGTGATTTAAAAGCGCTTCCATGTTTGAAACTCTTCTTACACTGATCACATGAATATGGCTTCTCTCCAGTGTGGATATTCATGTGGTCTTTAAGGCTTATTTTTTGGTTAAAACTCTTCCCACGTTGATCACAGGTGTATGGTTTCTCTCCAGTGTGGATCCTCTCATGTGCTCTCATGGCTCCTGACTGAGTGAATCTCTTGTCAGAGTGTGAACACAAGGTTTTTTTTTAGTGTGAGTTCTCTGGTGCCTTTTCAATTCAGTATTTTAAAGGGGTCATATGATGCGATTTCAAATTTTCCTTTCTCTTTGGAGTGTTACAAGCTCTTGGTGCATAAAGAAGATCTGTAAAGTTGTAAAGACTAAAGTCTCAAATCCAAAGAGATATTCTTTATAAAAGTTAAGAGTTAGCCACACCTAAATAATGTTCTTTTTAGCAGCATCATATGACCCCTTTAATAATAACCCTGCCCAGGGCATATTTTGACACGATTCATTCTCTAATGCGCTTATAAGTTACACACACTACTAATATATCAAGTAAAATATATAGTAGCCTATAACTTCGTTTTCATTTTGGTTCAGATTTTGCGGTCGCATCAGATCCCTTACTGGCATATGACTCGTGACTATTTTTCACTTTCATTTCAATTATATAGTGTTTTTTGTTATAGATGGGCTGTTGAAAAGCAGGATTAGGCGCACTAACCCCGATTATTGAGAAAACCCGGTACATCACTATCACTTAACGAATAATACTTTTTGTATTTCAACAACAACAAAATCTGGATTTCTGTTTCCAAATTTAGACCTATCTGAGAGAATTGATTTGTTGTTTTTCTTGTAGGCCTGTAAACATGGAGCACCAATTTCTTTTGCTCTTTTTATGGCTTTGTGGTAGGCTAACTGTTTTACTTACTAATGTTTTTCTGTGTTGCGATTTCTTTGGTAAAATATTCATTAATTGATGTTTTGTATGAAATGAACCGTTTTGTAAATTGTTCTGGTCTGTTTCAGGTGCTTTAGATGCAAAGGCAGATTAAATGAGGACCGATTCAGTGATGGAGGGATATCTCAACACTCATGATGTATAATATTCTTTAACATATACTAATTGAACGTTTCTGTACTTTTTTTTTTAACATTCTCTAATCATTTCCAGCTCCCAACTCCTGAAATTATCAGAAAGTATCGACCATGTACAGAAGGATCATTAAGGACAAAGTGTGTGTTGGTGTGTTCAGCGAAGAACGTTCCAAATGCGACTCTAACCTTGTATAACGTAAGCAGTTTATTCTCCATGACTAAAGTTTCTGATATTAATATCGATCCCGTTCTATGTCTGGAGGTGGAAAATAAGGATAAAAACAACTACAGCTGTGTGTTCAACAATCACATCAGCAGCCAGATTACACGTCTCAACATCACGCAACTCTGTCAGTCGTGTTCAGGTATGTGGCATTTATTTACCGACTTCATCTGAATTCTGTCAGACATTTTATTTCACTGAGTTCACTAGTTTGTTTCCTGGTGTTTTACAGTAAAAGCGTTTACCATTTAAAGATAATAGAAGGTGTTTACTTAATTCTCACAAATCTATCAGAATGCAATCAGAATGTTACTCCTCATTCCACCACTGAGATAAATATGTATCATGCTGTTTATTGTCCTGTGATGTTTTATTGCTGAAACAGCTACAACACAGGCACAGGTGTTGGTGATGGAGGGAGATTCTGTCACTCTGGACAGTAATTTTACAGACTTACAGATGGAAGATCAAATCCTGTGGATGTTTGGACCTCGAGAGAGACTCATTGCTGAAATTCTTAATAAACATGTCTACCTATTTGGCTATGATAGTGGGAGGTCCATTGACAGACTCCTGCTTGACAGTCAAACTGGAGATCTCGACATCACAAACACCAACAAAACAATCTCTGGAATCTATAAACTACAGATCAACAGTAAACATTTCAAATGCAGTGGTTTCAATGTTACTGTCTATAGTGAGTAAATTAATCATTTATGAATATACATAATCATAGTTTTCTTAAAACCTATTAATACATATTCTCCAGTGTTGGGGTAACACATTACAAGTAATGCTAGTTACGTAATCAGATTACTTTTTCAAGTAACTAGTAAAGTAACACATTACTTACTATGAAATATCTAAGTTACTTTTACAAATAAGTAATGCAAGTTACTTTGTTTTCCCATTTATTCACTGACACCTCTCCTGTCCCCATGTTGTGAGAAATCAGGAGTGAGGTGCAGAGGCACTTCTTTCAGGCTGAGGCTTAATCATTTCACTTTTGGTGTGAAAAGGCCTTTACAGTTGCCAAAAATAAAAAAGTTTTGCATTTCATGTTATTAAAAACAAATAAGCAAGCCCAGCCCAGGTGACAAAAAGTAACGCAAAAGTAACATAATGGATTGCTTTTCATAAAAAGTAACGATTAGCAATTACTTTTTTTATATTATAATATTGTAATGCATTACTTTTAAAAGTAGGCTAACTTTCCCCAGCACTGCTATTCTGGTATTAATGTTATGGCAATGTCTGTATTTGGTATCTGAGAGGTGACTGGGAATCTGACCCATGTCAGGAATGCAGTAACAGTACACTCATTTAGCCCAGCTTCCAGAGAATAAAGATATTATATTATATAATCAAATGTTATATTTAATAGAAAAGGGTTATCAGTTTGAACTTTGTTCTTATTAATTTTATTCTGTGGTTCTAATGATAGCTGTATGAGACATATAAAAACTAACTGTGCCTAGGGCCAAGAAGGTCACTCACTCACCATATGTATCTACTAACTCTTATGCATGCTTTAAGTTTATGATTTTTTTTTTTTTTTTTTTGAGTTGACCATTAGGTGCTATATGTTAAACTATGACAGTGAATCATGTGTTTTAGTTTGTATAAGTGCTCTGTGCTCCATGTGAATGTAATGTTCTGTTCAAGTGATGTACCACAGCTCAACCTCGAAGGGAAACGATACTGCCTATGTTTTATCTAATGGCGTATTTACAGGGGTTGTTTAGGAATATGACAGGCATGTGACCATGCCAAAGGAACAGTTGTACTAGTCTTTCTGTATTCTAAGTTAGTTAAAGGCTAGCTCCTCTTACTCATTTTCTACAGCCTTTGGAAGTGTGGAGAACTCTGTCTTCTTCAGTAAACTCTCTGTCAACTGACAGAACTTCAGATTTTACTCCTGGTCTTCATTGAGCATATTGGTCTCTATGTGGTTTAACTGTAATTCCCCTACAAAATTCTTTATTCTCTCTGGTTTTCCAGCTCATCTGCCCATTCCTGTCATCACCAGAGAATCTCCACAATGTTCTTCATCATCATCAGGATCATCAGTGTCCAGTTGTTCATTGCTGTGTTCAGTGTTGAATGTGGGTCATGTGACTCTCTCCTGGTACAAAGGAAACAGTTTATTGTCCAGCATCAGTGTGTCTGATCTCAGCATCAGTCTCTCTCTACCTCTGGAGGTGGAATATCAGGATAAAAACACCTACAGCTGTGTGCTCAACAATCCCATCAGCAACCAGACCAGACATCTGGACATCAGTCAGCTTTGTTCAGGTTTGCTGGCATTTGATATTAGTGTTCATTTAGTAAGCTATGGCAGTAAACAGATAATAGGGTAAGAAACCATACACTTCTAGTCTAATTTATTTTTATTTATTTTTTTTTACAATTTTTTATATTTTAATCACACATTTAAAACTGTGAAACAAAACCATTGGAAGGCCAAAAAAATAAAATAAAATCATGCTGCTGTATTTGTACGTTTATTCTGTTGCTTAAAAACAGGATTTTCAGAATTTGCTTTCAGTAATTACTGTTTTCTTATCATCATTACAGATCAGAGCCACATGCTGAAACAAAGTATGATAAGTGGTTGGACTTTTGCTGCTGTTTTATTGTTTGTGCTGGTCATCATTGCAGGTGTGAAAGTCTGGAAATGTAGACAAGCAAATCAAAATGGCAAGTATCGCTGATATAGCCTATGACTTAGAAAATAGTTAAAATGACACCACAATATGTTTTGTAATTACCATTTATGTTTGTACAAGTGGAGGAACAATATTTAGTCTTTATTTTTTTATATTATATAATTATATTGATATTATTATATATGATATAATTTTTGAAAGTCTGGAAATGTAGACAAGCAAATCAAAATGGCAAGTATCGCTGATATAGCCTATGACTTAGAAAATAGTTAAAATGACACCACAATATGTTTTGTAATTACCATTTATGTTTGTACAAGTGGAGGAACAATATTTAGTCTTTATTGCCTTTGTGGTTTTAGTTTATGATTTGGCATCCTTTAGCATGTTGAAGACTGTTAGAAAACAATTGAAAAGTACTAGATTATAATGAGAAGTTATAAATACAGAAATGGATAACTGATGGTCAGTCAGTCAGTGGAAGATCTCACGATCTGAATTTTTGTGTTCAACAGACGCCAGGCTGTAAACTGAGACCCGTCAAAGTTTCCCAGCAGGTTAGATACAAGAAAAAAAATCATAATACATTCAATAAAAACCGTTTAATACAAGTTTAAAATGGCATTATAACAGTGTATTTGAAATATCATTTTAATAGCAGTGGCATCCAGCGGGGACACACCAGACACCAAATATGATGGACAGCAAAATGGAGATTTGATTCCCAATTCATCCTCCTTAAGGACACCACAAAAAAACTAAAATCTCTTTTATGGAGAAAAATCTCTTTTAAATCACACGTTATGATAATTCTGTAACAACTAATTTAAAAAAAACATCACAATCTATATAAAGGATTATAATAGTAGGATAATAATCTACATATAGGATTATATAGGATTTGTAATTGATGTGCTTGTCTTTTCCCATGACATCCTGAATCCCATTTGCAGATTCATGACTATGAACTGTATAACTTTAACTCAGACTAAAATATATTTTTCTTGTATGAATCACACATAAATTCAAAATGGATTTTCATAAAGACTCTGTTTTGGATTTTGGATTTTTCTGGAGCCTATACTATTTTAACTTGACATTCTGCATGAAAAATCTCTTTTATGGAGAAAAATCTCTTTTAAATCACACGTTATGATAATTCTGTAACAACTAATAAAAAAAAAACATCACAATCTATATAAAGGATTATAATAGTAGGATAATAATCTATATATAGGATTATATAGGATTTGTAATTGATGTGCTTGTCTTTTCCCATGACATCCTGAATCCCATTTGCAGATTCATGACTATGAACTGTATAACTTTAACTCAGACTAAAATATATTTTTCTTGTATGAATCACACATAAATTCAAAATGGATTTTCATAAAGACTCTGTTTTGGATTTTGGATTTTTCTGGAGCCTATACTATTTTAACTTGACATTCTGCATGCCTAGGTAAAATTACATAATCCTGTTTTTCAAAATGCAGGTTTGGATTTAAATTAATTTACATTGAGATTAAAGAATTCCTCTGCACTTGTATAATATGTAAATGCTGCCCCCTACAGCACTTTTCAGGAGTTGTCTAAACATTTTTTCGCAAGCCAATTCAATAAAAATGAAAGAAAAAGAAACGTATGCAATATTTACAACAGGTTTTTTCTAATGTTTCAGTGTTTAGTTTTAAATAAATAAAATATCACAGACATAGATGATAAGATCCATATGATTTAATTAGCATATTAATTAATTATATGTTAGTCTGCCTCACCCCAGGCTGCAAGAATCTCATGATCTGATGAAAAAAACGTAACTATTTTACGAGGTGGTGATGTCGTGTGAATTCATTTTGAAGTTGTTCTTCTTGTTTTTTTCCTTTCAGCATTTCATGCATCCATTTTCCAAACATAGGGTCGCGGACATGCTGAAGCCTATTAGCATTGCCAATTTGGCATCATTCCACTTAAATAAATAAATAAAATAAACGTACAAGCAAGATATAACTGGAGGCCATGTGCAATGAGGTCAGTCACACTAAACATTTTTTGTCCTTAGTTCCTTAGTTTCGGCTTATTGGTTGATTTTATTTCCGCGTTGGCCCAAGTATGAATGAAGCAAAAGTGGAGTTTAATTATTCTGGATTTTTGGGCGAAGAATACACTGTCAAAAAAAATCTGTGACATTTACTGTAAAATACCGGCAGCTGTGGTTGCCAGAACTTCACTGTAAGAAATATAGTAGCAACATTTTAGGTTTTACAGACTTAAAGGCAGAGTAAGTGATTTCTGGTAGCCAATGTTGATATTTGAAATCACCAAAACAAACACGCCCCTACCCTTCATTTAAAAAAAAAAATAAAAAAAAAACATCAAATATGAAGTGTCATGCAGGGGATTCTGTGAGTGTCAATTTACGGTTTGTCACTGTAAATTATACAATGACTTTTTCTTTTTCACTTCCAAAAACCGTATTTTTAACAGTATTTTACTGTAAAATTACATTAAATGTAATTACATTTATTTACCGAATATTGTATGGAAACTTACTGTTAACTAGTTAACAGGTTTTTACTGTAGCATTTTTACAGTCTTTCACTGTTAAAATCACAATCATTTTTTACAGTGTATGATCACCCATTTCTGCTGCTCTGTCTCCGATAATACATATTATGTTCATGATTTCAGCTGTTGCAACGTTTTCTTTTCATTTAAATTTTCAAAATGTTTTTGTATTTTCTTTCTTGTTTATGTTGTTTGTTTTATCAAATCACAATATAGGCCTACCTATGAAATAACGGTTGTTAAATATTAGCAATATGTCTATCATTTCCGTCTGTGTTTCAGGTGTTGATACAGATGTAATGAAGTCGATATCAGTGATGGAGGGATAATCTGTCACTCTACACACTGGTGTTTCTACAATAAAGACCACATAATCAAGAGGATCACACAATGTGGACGTTTGGACAACAACACACGCGCATTGCTGACCTTTTTTCTAGCATTAATTCTAATTCTAATTATGTTCATTCTGATATATTCAGAAATCGACTACAGGTGGACTTTAAAACTGGATCTCTAACCATCAGAAACATCAGAACCACAGACTCCGGACTTTATTACCTCAATAACGTCAATTCTGATCCCACCAGCAAAGTGACGTCAACCACATTTAATGTCTCTGTTTATGGTGAGAATTCTGGATATGAAATAATTTGTGTTTGTGTGTTATATTATGGACATTAATGTGGGTGTTACATTTTTTTATTCTGTTTTACAGCTCATCTGCCCACGGCTACCATAAGAGACTTAACAAACTGTTCTTCTTCATCATAATCATCATCATCATCATCACAGCAGAATTGTTCATTGGTGTGTTCAGTGGTGAATGTGGGTCATGTGACTCTCTCCTGGTACAAAGGAAACAGTTTATTGTCCAGCATCAGTGCGTCTGATCTCAGCATCAGTCTCTCTCTACCTCTGGAGGTGGAATATCAGGATAAAAACACCTACAGCTGTGTGCTCAACAATCCCATCAGCAACCAGACCAGACATCTGGACATCACTCAACTCTGTCACACATGTGCAGGTATGTCAGTGAAGATATTCATGGCTCTGTTGTTTTGTATAATAGACGTTGAACATTACTTTTATTGTGAAATGTTTAGCTCTGTGTAAAAGTTGCTTCTCTGTTGCAGACCCTGTTACTATTCTATCTTTTACCACTGATTCCAGTTTATCTGGCAGTTGGAATATTTTTCTACTGGATTTATAGGAAACAAACACAGGGTCGTGAGTATAATCTAGTGCTTATAGTGATTAATTTACAGAAACAGTAGAATTTATAGATACAATATTCATAGTTTGATGTGACTTTTTTTTTTTTTTTAATGGATAAACTCTACTTCTTGAATCCAAGTGTTGTAACATGAATTGGAAATCCAGAAGTCCATTAGTTTGAAAATAGTTTTAACATATTTTGATTTATTTGTTTTAAATTGGTGACACTGTTACATCTGAGGTCTTTTAGAAGTATATGTATGTGTTTCTGAGTGTGTCTGTGCTGGAGAAGGTGTGGCCTGCGCTCAATGCCAGCAGAGATCCTGATTGGTCTGCTCCTGGTTCCAGTGAAAAGGACCCAAACACGCTAAAAAGTGTTGCGTGCCATTTGTTTTGTGCTGTCTTGGTTTCCTCTGTGACTGTGTATGCTTTGAAAAACATGCTTGCGTTCCAATTGATTTTCTAATTCTTGGAATTATTTTTGTCTTCAGTTATATTGTGTGAATATCATTTGTAAATACTTAGTTTAAGGGAAGTAGGGAGTGTAACGCCTTTTCTTTTGCATATATTGTTTGTTCTATGTTTTGTGTTAAGGGAGTTAGGTAAGTTGTGTTGTATTTTTTTGTAATGTTTTTTTTTGGGGGGGGGGGATTTACAGGGTACTAAAACCCTAGTAATTTTTGTTTATTTTGGCCTACTGAGCATGTTATTTTTTAAGTTTAACTAATGGGGTAATCATGTTTGTGTTGGGAAATGTATTAATTTTGTACTAAATAAAAAGTATGTTTTACAATAACTTTATTTCTCCAGGCTGAAGCTATCTTTTATTTAATACATTTCAATGTGATTTCTGTCTGTATTTCTCACCACTAGAAAGTAATAGCATTTAACGACCAGAAGGTGGCAGAAACGATTTAATGTATGCAATCATTTACGTCACGTCACTGCATGCTTCTTTGACAAGGCGCGAGGAAAAGAGCACGGGGGAATTTGACGTTTGACGCCGGCGGGAAAATAAAGAGCCTTTTCCCGGGTTTCGAGATGAGGGCAGTCCTTTAGGTCTTCAAGTTCTTACTCCTCGTGAAAAAGTTCAATTTCATTCTAACCTCTTTATTATGACACAGAGTGTGCACGTAAACAGTGTCTATATCACAAAAAATTATCTTACGATTCACCTGTTTTGTAAAATGGTTTGACCTGGCAAATAACGCCTCAGTAACGAGTTGTGACTTGAGCGTTACTCCCGATGAAAAGGGTTTGTTCAGTAGTGAAGAGCACCATGAAAAACGTCCTTAAAATGCAAGGGTTTTGTAAGCAAAGACGCCAGGTGTCGGAGCAAAGTAAACAAAATATCACTTTGTGGACCTTTAAGATAGCATTACAGCTTTTTGTTGCATTTACACATATTTTCCATTGTTATATGCATTTTATAGAAAACTGTAAAGTTAGATATTTAAAGAAACTAGAATATAGAAATGATTACAACAGCCTAAGTACAAGATATTGACTATTTCTGTTCTTTTATGTTTGTGAGCTTGTGGTTTTATAGCATGCGTCAGACAGCGGCAGAACCCCCAGGCTCAATTTCTGCTTACTGTATTGTCAGATAAAGTTACAGGGTACTAAAACCCTAGTAATTTTTGTTTATTTTGGCCTTGTCCACTCCTGAATTTGCTCCCTTTGTTGTTGATTTTCACTTTAAATTTGTTAATAAATCTATTTTTTGTTTGATATCATCTTTTATATCATCTTTATAACCATTATAATTCCTGCAACGCCAAGCTAATATACCTTGTCTGAACTTGCATTTCCTTCATTCTGATAAAATACTGTTCAGAAACTAGGTCACCATCTTGCTCCAGTCTCTTTGTACACAGGTTTACAATAAAATGTTGCTTATTTCTCACGGTTGCTTATGGCATAGGGTTCAGTGTCATCAGTATTTCAGCACATTTTTGTTTATATTATAGCACTATTCTAAAACATTTTCCTCACAATGCTATATGTTAGTTGTCACATGCTCAAATATTCCAGTTGGTGGCAGGAAAGTTTAAATTAAAAGCCCTGTCTATTTTCGATTTCAGCAACAATAAAGACATTTTCTAAAACTGTATATTTAAAAATGTTTTGTATACTAAATGTAATTTACAGAATTGTTAAATAATTGTGAAATTGTTAATAATGAACCTGCATTGTTAATATGGGATAGGACAGACATGCTAGTTTCCTGATATTAAGCACTTTATATTCACACCCAAAACAGGATCAAGCATTAGCCACAAGTAAGTAAACAGGATGTTAAATAATTGTGAAATTGTTAATATGCCACTGTTAATAATGAACCTGCATTGTTAATATGGGATAGGACAGACATGCTAGTTTCCTGATATTAAGCACTTTATATTCACACCCAAAACAGGATCAAGCATTAGCCACAAGTAAGTAAACAGGATTATGTTGCACATTATGATTAAACAATATCAAACTCAAAATAGTGTAGGCTATGTTGGACAATTAGTCATGAGGTTGCAGGTAACTAATTTGGTACAACAGCATGCTAGTGAATGTGACATGCATTTATACAGGTTGAGTTCATTTTAGACCAAAGTAGGGCATCTGCTACATTTTAGACAAAATCTCGGCATTTAGTTAGCTTGTTCTTTTCTCTGCCAGTGGTACTAGTTAATAAGCATCAAGAGTTTCTTCTAGCTCCTGTAATAAAACAGACCCATTATAATGACGGTTATAATATCTGGACAATACCTAGGGTGAATTCGGGTAATCTGGGACATTTTTTGCAATTTTGACTTCTGCGATTTATTTCGATATCTATCTAACACATTAGGATATTGACTATTTCTGTTCTTTTATGTTTGTGAGCTTGTGGTTTTATAGCATGCGTCAGACAGCGGCAGAACCCCCAGGCTCAATTTCTGCTTACTGTATTGTCAGATATATTGACTATTTCTGTTCTTTTATGTTTGTGGGCTTGTGGTTTTATAGCATGCGTCAGACAGCGGCAGAACCCCCAGGCTCAATTTCTGCTTACTGTATTGTCAGATAAAGCAACTGCACTTGTTTTCCATGGAAATCCCCAAGCTCCCTCTCCCCTTGTGTTTAGGATATAAACACTGCGCAGAAGACTGGGAGGGAGAGGCAGGGTACTGAAAGAAAACAATGGATACTTTTGCTGATCCTTTTTCAGGTGTCTTTGCTAGGAATCGTGGCTGTGTGTTTAACCATACTGTATTGTTCCCACAGTTGTAGGTTATGTGCGTTTTCTTTGAACAGAGACCTGATGTCAATATTTGTAGAGGAAAGGACAAACATGGTAGACTGTACTTCATTGTCACAGGAAGTTAGGTCTTTTTAAATAACTCTGATGCTTTACATGGTCTGTCTTGAGACTTCTGACACAGGATGCGGTTTGGTAAGTGAAACAGTGACAGACCAAGATAAAAATACGAAACTTGTATTGATGCACAATTACAGGTTTGCAGCTCCCCCAGTGTATTGTTGTTTTACGTTACGCACTTACATCATGACGTATTACACTTGAAGTACCTCACCTACACCCAGTACCTCACATGTTTTCCTAATATTTTGTTTCATTTTTATTGAGCAGTATGAATATTATCTCTAACAGACAGAACCATTGTAAAATGGAAGTGGAGCATCTGAAAGGAAAGTAGGAGGTATTAAAATGAGTAGCTGATTTATGATTTATAAGCAAAATTTGAACACTATAGCCCTCCTCCATTACATAATCTGCTTACACAATGGTGTATCTTGATAAACCACAATGGTACTGAACATTGGAATCATGAGGGAATCCCACTTTTTATGTACAAAACTTTCCTACTTTGAAGCTCCTCAAACTAAACCCTACCAATTGTAAACATGTTAATCAGACAGCACTTACTGGAAACCGATCAAGTTACAGTATAAACACTGGGCTCCTCCCTTAGACTGCCATTAACCAGGCCAACTTCCTCTGAATGTAATTGATGCTCTCAGTTACTGATGAAGGTTTATCATTAGAAATAGGAAATGAGTGTGTAAGCACTGGGGGACACTAAGGTTCTGTTGTCCATGTCACACAGAATGCAAAATTCCCCCTGTCCTTTGTGTTTTGTGTGATGCTGATATATCACACTGTATGCAAAGAGAAGACAGTTGGCGCACATATCAGATAACATCGGCCATCTGGGAGCGGTAACTTGGCAACCGACTCGACCAATAAGGTAGTCAAAATACTGAAGCCCTTTCCTTTTACTGTCTGTTTGGAGATACAAGCAGGTTTGGTCAGTCTTAAACATAATGTTGACTACAAAACATGGAACGAATGAAAACGTTGGGACATTTTATAAGACAAAAGATCAAATCCTACAACAACAGTTGATCAATCGATTGGAGTTTAATACATAAACATGAAATTACTGCTCAGTGTAAATCTAATGGGACCGCGGGGAAAAAAACTATCTCTGATCTACAGGAAATGGTGGCCTACCAGAACCCAAAGTGTGAAAAAAGTGTGAACTGAGGGTTTTATGAAATTAAGTTTTAGATCAGTCTGTGACATCTGTTAGCATTTTGTCTGAAAAAAAACTATCTCTGATCTACAGGAAATGGTGGCCTACCAGAACCCAAAGTGTGAAAAAGTGTGAACTGAGGGTTTTATGAAATTAAGTTTTAGATCAGTCTGTGACATCTGTTAGCATTTTGTCTGTAAAAGGAATATACTTAATTATAAAAAAAAAGCAGTAATAGGGACAATAATTTGGGACTTTATGCCCAAATTACACCAATGTTATTTAGAATTGGTTCTAAAACGCTTTGTTGGGGCAACATGTTTACAATATACAGCTCTATCTTTAAACTACATTCTAACTGCCCAAATTACTTTTCCTGATATCAGTGGTATGGAAACATTTCCTTCATTTGTTTTGGAAACACGGGTGTGGGATGACATTAAACTCCAACTTAAAAACTTTCTTGTGGTACCATAATGTCATGTCAGATAATCAAGCAGATTCTCACTTATTTTATGGTAAAAAAATCGACATTTGAGGACATTTAGAAGTAATTTACTTCTTTGAACTGGCATTCTAGTCTCTCATCCAACCGTCAAACTACACTCTGCACTCTACTTGACGAAACTAAGCAGTTTTTACGAATAGTATTAAAATTCTGGTGAATAAATTTATTTAAATAACTTAATTTGCATTTTAATATACTATCTACAAACATTTTGTCTTATACAATCACAACGTTGGTGACTGTAAATGCCGAAAGTTGACGCTTACACATAAGGGTGACTAGTTCGTGTGAAAAAAAACAACAACTGCATGCACACTGCATTTTGGTTTTGACCTCTTTGATCTTTGTTGTATCTCAACAGGAAGTGGTGGTCACTCTGAAGGTGATGCGGCAGACGGTCTCATGGCAGGCGCTTCAGCCCGAGTGACCTAATTAGGCTTATGATTGTGCTAATCTGATTATTTTTGTACACTGTTTTTATTGTTTTAGTATTTATCAGAATCAACAATCTGTTGTGAGTTGCGCTGCACTGATGGGGACTTTTAGGCCTGAACTGTGAGAACTTCTGCATTTTTTTTTCTTGCAAACATCACAAAAAGATCATTGATCTCAGATGGTTGAGTCAGATTAGAGGCCTCAGTTTGCTTTGGGTTTTTGTAGAAGAGTGAAAAAGATGAGGAAGGGGCTTTGGGTTCAGAGAAGAGAAGAGCTGAAAACCACAGTGATGATTAGACTGTAACATGGTTTATCATTCAGATTGTAGACTTTGCATTGCACTGCAGGGTTTAACTACAAATGTGTATGAATTGCGTTTAGTAGAGTTAGCAAATAAAGTCCAATAAATTAAGTGAATGCTTCAAAGAATTGTTATTGTGTATGTGCAATTAGTTTAACCATCTCAATAAATGTATTGTTATTATAAATCTAGGTCAGGGTATTGTACCTCCAAGTTGTGTATCGAAGTGTGGTTTGTACCAGTGGAATGTGCAACCTGTGCACAATGAGTTTGAGAGATGGATGCGTGGTGGTGTGTGCATATGCGGTACCGGTGCAAGGTGTAGGTGGATGAGGTTTTTTCTGATGGCCTGATCTTAATACTGACTTATATACGTTAACAAAAGCTCTAGGAGAGGCAAATACTAACATTTCAAAAGTGCATTAAGCATATGTTATGTGCAACACAATCATACCAATATGTTCCAAAAAAACTGTTTTGACAACCTAAGCTTGTATGACCACACTCTTAAAAAATAAAGGTGCTTACGATGCCATAGAAGAACCTTTTTGTCTAAATGGTTCCATAAAGAACCTTTAACATCTGAAGAACCTTTCTGTTTTACAAAAGGTCCTTTGCGGCGAAAGAAGAATGGTTCTTCAGATTATAAAAAGGTATAAAAGAGATGGTTCTTTAAATAACCTTTGACTGAATGGTTCGTTTGAAGCACCTTTATTTTTAAGAGTGTAGCTGGTTTCTTGCGGTTCTTCAGATTATAAAAAGGTATAAAAGAGATGGTTCTTTAAATAACCTTTGACTGAATGGTTCGTTGTGGAACCAAAAATGGTTCTTCTATCTATGGCATCGCTTGAAGAACCGTTTGAAGCACCTTTATTTTTAAGAGTGTAGCTGGTTTCTTGCTGGTCCAAGATTATCTACAAGCTTGGACCTGCCTCCAACCATCTTTATTCCAAAACACAGAAACCATTTTCCAGTTAAAAGACAGAATGAACAAAATCTTAAGACGTTAATAATATTCAAATCGCAAAAAAAGACAGTACAAAATACACAGTAGCCTATAATGTACCAGAAAACTACTTCACTCAGTAATAGTCAAGGGCGGGACTAAAAACAGTGAGGTCGCCTCAAACGCACTGCATGTGAAACCTTTTTTCTTTTTAATTTGTAGGTTCGTGAAGAAAAAGTTTTCTTAATTATCGATTTGATGAAATCGGGCAAATTAAATGTGTAGACGCTGGTCGGTTTGAACACGGTTAGATCCGTGTTGCTGTCTTTTGTCCATCGGACACTTGACGGTTCTCGTAAAACACATCATGTGGATTTCAATTATCTTTAGGACAAAATGAGGACTATTATTTGTAAAACAACGTTTTTATGTCTCTTCCTGTTGGTCATGGATGGTAAGTGTTTTAACTGTGTCGCTTCGACTTTAGTCTGTTGGGTTTAAAACAGAAATATGATATTTATTCGCGTATTCTCCGCTGCATCATCCTCTGTCTGCACCTATAACACAACGTTATAGATTGTGACCAAAAACATGTGCGAATTTCTGTGGGTTTATCAGATATGGGATCAATCAGTAGGCTTGCCTACCAAACAAACAACGTACATAATGTAGTAAATTAGCTTTGATGGAAGTTGCGCCCAAATGTTGGATCAGTCATTGGCAATCTTTCTATAGAAACTTAAGAGCGCAACATTCTTTGTCGCGCACATACGTATAGGCTATCTAACGTTAACAGGATCACAAAGAAAGTAGTAATCTCCACGAGGGTAGCTTTAATTGACACAATTAATTAACACTAAACATAATTATAACCATGTATTATAAATAATCAACATTCCCAATAAGCACAGTCGACTCTGCATATTCTGCAGTATCCAGTGGCTGTTTTTGTTTTGTAATAGTTTTTTAGTTGTATTTGCCAGTGTATAATCATAGGAAACTGAATAAAACCAATAAAAATAGGTTAATTTCTTCAGAAGCTAAGAATAGTATACTGTAAAAATTAATTAAATTAAAGTAATTTTAACAGAAAAATAAATGGTTGGTTGGCTATAATGTCACCTTACAATGTACAGTATGATAATAAAAAAAATACGTTAAGTAAACAATATTAGTTATGGGGCAAAGGGAACTCCGCAGATTTATTTAGTTTCTTTCTTTTTTATCAGTCATGTTCATATAAGTGTTTTATGTTGCATTTTATGTTATTTAGTTCATGCTTAGTGTGTTAAGTCTGTACCCTGAAAAAAAAATCCAAATAGGTTGGTATGTTAACATTATATAATTTATTTACATATACATGGAATTGTAAAATATCGTTTTGCTCCTGTAATTCTAATGAAAAAAAAATACAGTATAATTTTGAATTATTAGTAGTACTATTAATATTAGTAAATTCTAAATGGCTCCTTCTATTTGTAAACCTCCTTCATTACAATTATTCTGGGAAAACGGTTTCTGAATGTGTTTCAGGTGTGTTTGGTGGTGATACAGATGTAATGAAGTCAGTGTCAGTAACTGAGGGAGATTCTGTCACTCTAAACACTGATGTTACTGAAGTACAGAGAGATGATCAGATACTGTGGATGTTTGGACCTAAAGAGAATCGAATAGCTGAAATCTATAAGCAGGTGATTGATATGTTTAGCAGTAATGAGACATTTGGAGACAGACTGCAGTTGGACTCTTTCACTGGATCTCTGAACATCAGAAACATCCGAAGCACAGACTCTGGACTTTATAAACTACAGATCCACAGCAACAGAGGGAACTCGGACAAGACATTCAATGTTACTGTCTATGGTGAGTCAAATATGACTTTAAAACATCTTAAAATATGTATAAATGGTTGTGAAGCTTATTATTGATCTGGTAGTAGTGACTTTTAACAGCACTAAAAATTAAAATGTATTTCCAATCTACTTTTTATTTTAAGCCAGCAAACTATAACCCCTAAAATGTAATGCAGCCTTTATTTTCTGTACAGTTATGTATTCTGTCTTTGTGTTTTTGTTTTGTAATGCGGACTATTATGTTGACTCCTTTGTATTTGGTTCAGTTCCTGTTTCTCTTTGTCATTAGCAAATTATGTGCACCTGTGTCTTGTAGGTAATTTACCCTTTGTGTAGCTCTTGTGTTTAGTTGGTTCTTGTCAATCCGTGGTGGTAATGTTGTGTAGCTCACTTCTGGTTTCCATGTTGGATATTTTGATTATTGTTCCACTTAATCTGCATTTGGATCCTGCTTTCCCTCATGTCAGAATTTGCCCACATTACAGCAATATGCGTATTCAATGTACATGTTTTCCAGCTCGTCTTCCTGTTCCTGTCATCACTGGTAACTCTTTAAACTGTCCATCATCTGAAAGATCCTCAGTGTCCACATGTGCACTGTTGTGTTCAGTGGTGAATGTGGGTCATGTGACTCTCTCCTGGTACAAAGGAAACAGTTTATTGTCCAGCATCAGTGTGTCTGATCTCAGCATCAGTCTCTCTCTACCTCTGGAGGTGGAATATCAGGATAAAAACACCTACAGCTGTGTGCTCAACAATCCCATCAGCAACCAGACTCAACATCTGGACATCAGAGAACTCTGTCAAGGTATGACCACATCAAGGTTTATTTATTTTTTTACTAAGCTAAATAGCTTCACTAAATACCATTTATAGTTTAAATCTCACAATATGCAGGTGGTGGTATTTCAGATTGAGTTAAAATACTTTCAAGGTGTTCTGTGTTATCAAGCTTTTTTATATATTCAGTACTTTTATATATAAATCAGTACTTATTTCGGACCATTTTGACAATTATACCAACAACCTACAGTTGTTGCTTTCTGTATAGTAGTGCAAGATAAAAATGAAGGCATGACTGCACATTTATATACTGGAAGTAAAAATAAAAAATTATTTAAAGGGTATTCTGTATAATGGATTTAAGTTTCAAAAAAACATTTTAAATTCCTTTTCTGCCTTCATATCATTGCTCTTCCATAAATAGTATTTATTTCTTTAAAGGCACAGGTGAATGTTAATTATTGTTTTTCCTCTTTCAATTTCAGATTGCAGTTCATGGTCGATTGCAATAATCTGCAGTTGTTCTGCAGTAGTTCTGGCTGTGATCGCAATTGTGATGTGCTGTCTTTACAGGAAATACGGAAAACCAAGGCCAAAAGGCAGGTCTTATCGTAAGCTAATGCAACAAGCATATGTGCATTTATGTTTTAATAATGATTTTATTACTTTTTTTTTTCATTCTTGTCTTTAGTGAATTATTTTGAACCATGTGCGCATGCTGCTGAAACCGTTCAGACAGACGAGAGTGAGGTAGCTTACGCCGAAACAACATTTTTACCTAATGTACAAAACAAGGTATGACTCTCATGGGCATGTTCACTTTTACACCAGATAAAAATGGTAAAATGTATGTTTAAATGGTAAAAAAAGTTTAAAAGTTTGCATGAAGCAATGGCAGTATACTGTTACTGGGATAGTTCTGTAACTCCAGCACATTAATCAGAAAACAATGCTCTTCTTCCTTGTGACTTTGCCAGCTTCTGGTATGAAGAACTGGGGTTTTCAGTAGTGTGATTACTCTGGAAATATCAAAACATAGCATTTGTAAGATTATGATTTTTCAGCTATAAATATCAACAGTAGCATCCACTAAATACTAGATAGATGTGTTCTGTCTTTTCACTTTTAAAATGCGTTTCGAAGTAAGAACTGACTGCTATACATACAATTATAGAAATGCTATAAAAATGAGCCTGCTGGTTTTTTGTTTTGTGAGACTTCTTACCTTCTGTCTGTGTTGTCCAACAGAAGCCCAATGGGACAGAAGAGACCATATACTCCACCATCAATAGACACTGATCAAACAAGCAGCAAGCAGTCTCTCATTTCACCACAATGGCTTTGCACACCTGCATCTGTCAGTATTACTACACTTGATCGAGGAGAGGAAAACATGATTTGCCCTTGATTTTCTTTGCTTTTTAACTTAAAAGAAAAGATTTTGAAGAATGTTGGGGTCCAGACAACATTGGGCCGCATTCACTCTTATTGTATAAAATGTGTATTAAAAATATTGTATAAAAAGGAGACTTTTTTTCAAAATATCTTCATATGTTATATAGGCTTGGTATGACAGAAGGATGACAATACCTTTACGTTGATCAGGTTGTGGCAGAACAAGCATGTCTAATATATAGGAAATAAAAGACTGAACCACTTGTTCAACATTGGACTGAACTTTTTGTTTGTTTGTTTCGTTTTTGTTTTTTTGCATATCCAAATTCCCCTCTGACTAACAAATCTATATTTTGCATGTAGACGCAGCAAGAGTTAAAATGACTATTAAAAACAATTGACTTAAGTCAGAAATTACTTCATTCTTGTACAAAAGCTGTTTCATAAGTGATGCATTAAAATCAGAAACTTGCATGCCTTGTTTATGCTCTTTCAGCTTGTCTGATCCACAGAATAACTGGCAGTTACTTATGTCCTCAGGGTTCTTATGTAAAGCCACAAGACTCCACCCCAGCTCCTGCTGTCATTCCAGTAATTCTTAGCTTTCTGCCCTGTATCATAGCACTGCAAGTCATTACATGTCTCATCGTACACTATTGCTTTACACTCACAGGCTTTGTGCTGCATCTGATGAAATTTGACCCTGATCTGTGCTGTTTGTTTGTGTTAAAAGTTGATTCTCTTTTTGTTTTTCCCTTTTCATTGTCGTTAGTATTTTTATAGAAAGCCCAAAGTTCCAGTAACTGGTTAGTCGGTTATTTCCAAAATAAAGAGATGTGGATTGAAATTGATGTTGAGCCTCAAAGTTTATGAAGGTATTTGTTGATGCTTTAGGTCAGTGACTTTCAAAGTGTAGGGCAGTAAAATTGTAAATAAAATTCAATGTGTTATTAGACCCGAGGGTGAGTACATGACTATTTTTAGAATAACTCCTTAATTTATTTGTCACATTGCCCCTTTAAAACGGTGAATCACACAGTTTTAAATGGGCAGTTTAAAAATGAGAACCACTGTATTAGGCAAAACTATTGTTGTTCCTGCTAGGAGAGTTTGACATTTGGTAATTCAGACTGTAGTCTTGCATACAGGTAACTGATCATTTAATGAGATAAGAATTTTGGTAGACTACAAAGAAGCACATTTCCTCTATTTACATTATGAAGTGGATATGAATTCGATTGAACAATTATGAGTTACTGCCACCTAGTGTCTGCAGAAGAAAATGGCGTCAGTGAGGTTGTGATGCTGGCTTTTTCTTTTTCACATCCGTTCTAGATCTGACGTAACAAACGAGCAGAGCAACAGCGGCCACGCCCACCACAGCATAAATCAGCGATGGAGTCACACTCAAATAACTGCTGGATAAATCTGGGGAAAGAAAAGACAAATATTAGGCTAGCCTATATGAGGAATCAAATGGTCATTTCTAAAAGTCTTTTGCTCATTAAATGTTTGAATGAAAATTCTAAAATGTATTGTTCCAAAAAAGCACCTTTGAGAAACTCAACAGCATGAAAAGACAATGCAGAAAAGCTGAGCGGATGTGGCGGAAGACAAAACCTGAATTTCACTATAGCATCTATAAAGACAGCCTTCATGCCTTCATTTTGGAACTAGGCAAAGCTAGACAGACCTTCTTCTCAAACCTTATAAACAGTAACTTAAACAACACTCGCACTCTTTTTGCTACTGTTGAGAGACTGACAAACCCCCCAAGTCAGATTCCCAGTGAAATGCTCTCCGACAGCAAATGCAATGAGTTTGCTTCCTTCTTTTCTGCGAAGATCAATAATATCAGGAAGGCGATTAGCACATCCCCAAATT